GGGGCAGCGGAGGCCTGCTCAGGGCCGGCTCCTCGGGCTCCAGCAGCCTGCGATCTGCCTCGTCGTGCAGTCGGCGCCTTTCGGCCTCCAGGCGGCTGTAATACCCTTCTTCCTGTCGCCTCTGCAGGCGGGAACAGAAGAGTGCAAAGGTCAGACAAGGTCAGAGGGGACCACAGCCACCCCACTGGGCCTTGCGGGCAGGAAAAGCCGGTCAGTCCCAGCCCAGGGCCACACTGACGACGAACGAGAGTGTGAAGGAGGAAGAGCCGGAAAGAGCCGGTCCATCGGCCCGAGACAGGCTTCCCGAGGCTCACGCACACCTCCATTCCGTCTGGAGTCACTGGACATAAAACTGCCAACAGCACAAACGAAGACGCTCCAGGGACTCCCGGGCCCTGCCTCTTGCTCCATCCCTGTCCCCGTGACGTCCCACCAGCCTCTTCCCTCTCCTCTGCTGCTCTAGGTCTCTGCCCCTCTCCTGTTTCTGTTCGGATAGTAACTTACCTGTTACTGCTGCGTTTAAGGACAAACAAAGCCAGACAGAGGCTCCGTGGCTTCCTACACCTACATGCTGGCACTGCCCCGACTCGAGTCCTTCCTCCAGGAGGGCACGCTCCTGCTCACCTCCTTCACTCAGGGACCAGCAGGGCCCCGGGAGCTGCGGCAGCCCTGCTCGTGCCCCCGGTGCCTCTAACACACACCCTCCAGTTCTCAGTCTACACTCAGGTCTTCAGCCCCGACAGACAGAAAAGTAGAGCAACAGCAACAAGATATTCAGATGTATTTTGACACATACATTTTCTGACATACATCTGCAAAAACTCCAGTTGACAGTGTTAAAATCATTAAAACATTAAAAAAGGTAACAGCACAATTTTGTTAGATTGACAGAAGTCTTAGAACACAAGAAAAAGTAAGTGAGAAAGGCGATGAGAGAACAAACAGAATAACCGGCCTTAAAGAGAATGGTTAACGCTACAGAATGGAGCACAGCACTTTTTCAATTCACTCAACCGAAGAACGAATTTTGGGGACCTTACTGGCGTTAGGATGAACGTTTTTAGTCCCCATTTCAGTGGTAGTGTCCCCCACTGCCTCCAGACAGACCCCACACCCACACACACACGTGCACAAGCACGCACACAGCGAGGCACACACACCAGCTGGTCAGAGCCTCGCCTCTGGAGGGAGAGAACTCTAAAAGCCAACGCCAGCCCCGATTTCTCACTCTATCTCTGTCTACATTGAGAAATACTAAAGGAAAATCTTTTTTTTTCTTATTTTCTACACAAAATAGGTGTCCTGTTGGGGTGTGGAATCAGCTCCAGAGGGAGCTCTGCGGCTGCCCGGGCCTCGGAGAGCAGCGGGCGCTGTGCCAGGGCCCCGCACGCCTTCCTGCACCAGGAGCAGGTCTGATTACAGGGCCCGCGAAGCCTCTGGTCTACCCAACGTCTTTCTATAACAAAGCAAACCCATCGCTTTGGGACATTCTGTATAAAAAAAGTAGGTTATTCAGCTTCTTTCCATGCTGCCACTCAATCACAGAAGCTGAAAGAAAGTGTCCGGCGTGATCAGCAGCAGTGGGAGAGCATGGGCACAGACCCGCCCTCAGCACCCAGAGCCGGGGGCCGCCTGGTGCGTGGGCAGGGGTGAACGGGCTGGGGCAGGGAGCTGGGGCAGCATCACACACACAGACGAGGCCCAGGGTCTCCACCTCTGGAACCTGGGTTCCTTGGAGGGACGACCTCTGTGACGCCATCGCCTCCGGGAAGACACGGGGAGCCTCATTGGAAGCTCAGCCCCGGGACCCCGAGCTGTGCAGACACACGGGGAGCAGGCCAGGCTCTGGGAAAGGCCAGGCCTACAGAAGGCAGACCCGCTCACCACCGTGATTCTACTGTCAGCTGCAGGAGTCCCCGTTCCTGCCAGCCTCCCTCTCAGCTGTTAGGGTCCTACCAGCTCCTGCAAGTCCTGTCTCGGGGTGGGAGGGGAGGGGCTCTATTGATACAGTTCACAGGTCTATCAAAGAAGGGATTTTCAATAAAAACTAGATTTTCCCATCAGAAGTCGTGGCACTGGAGCTCCACCTTCACAGAAGGGAAGCAGCAGAGGCCGGGCTGCCCAGCACGCGGGCCTCTCAGCTGTTAGGGTCCTACCAGCTCCTGCAAGTCCTGTCTCGGGGTGGGAGGGGAGGGGCTCTATTGATACAGTTCACAGGTCTATCAAAGAAGGGATTTTCAATAAAAACTAGATTTTCCCATCAGAAGTCGTGGCACTGGAGCTCCACCTTCACAGAAGGGAAGCAGCAGAGGCCGGGCTGCCCAGCACGCGGGGGGGGGCCGAATCGCCGTCACTGTAAGTTCCGCTAAAGGACTGCTCGAGTTAAAACCACCACACGTGGAAACCGAGTGGTAAGTCAGAGTGTCTAGCAGGTTACACACAAGGTACATGTTCCTCGTTCCACGGCCTGGAGAAGCACCTGCTCTGCACCAACTACAACGGAGTAACCTCAGGAAAGGATCTACTTGGGGTACTAGTGTCCACAGGCTGTCCCGCTGGCCCTGCTGCTCCCACAGCTCCAGCGCGAGGTGGGCCACACTGAGCCACCGGCACCTCCACAAACAGCAGCCCCGTCAGGAGCACAGAGCCCGGGTCCACGGGCAGAGACGCAGAGAGCAAGGAGGCTGGAGACAGCTGAGGAGAGGCAGGGCCGGAGCAGGCCGGGTGGTCCCGTGGAGGCTGGCCAGGCCCTGCTCCGCCCGCACACCTCCGCACGCCCTAGAGGACCATAACCTTTTCTTCAGCGTCACGCCTGCCCCGCTCCTCCTCCTGCCGCAGCCGCTGGTCCTCTTGCCGGGCGCGCTCCTCGGCCTCCCGCAGCCGCATCTCCTCCAGCTGCTGCTGCCGCCGGCGCTCCTCGTCCTGTAACTGACAACACATTCACCTTAGCTTCCTGGGGGCTCCTGGCAGACACACAGCACACACCGCGACACGCAGACGCACGCACAGAGCAACACGGACACGGGGTCAAAGCAGGGCTGACACACAACTCACACGGAGTGCGACAACTGCGAAGCGGCCGCTGCAGCCGCCCCCCCCGAGCTGTCCTCCCGCGGTCGTGGCGCCAAGGAGAAGGAGCTGCGCTCACACATCCACGCTTCAAACAAGCACCACCTTCTAGGACCAGCTCATGAACAGATGCAAACGTCAGACACCCAGGCGTGGCTCTGTGGACACTCAGCCAGCCTCGTCCGTGTTCGTTTTAGTTTCCACACGAGTGGAGAGAGAAGCCTGCACCGGGGCCGGTGGCGGATAAACGCCGGCCTGTGTGGGGCAGCCCGGGACCCATGAGCAGGGTGACAGTGCACCTGGGGACCAAGCTTCTAGCATCTTCCCGCACTGGCGCTCGGCCACCAGCTCCCTCTGGACCCGTCGTGGGCTCCATGAGCTCCTTCCCTGCCTGGGAGGCTCCCACCCAGGTCACAGAATCGCACGGGACGGTGGGAGGGCCTTCCGCCATCTCGCTCTGTGCTGCCTGGACGCCCACGAGGGAACGGCCACCAGCTGCAGACCAGCATCCCATTTCCAGGAAACCACCTGCCAGGTTCTGTCTCACACCCATCCCTGTCGCCACCTCATCTCTCCGCGCACATTCCAGTCCTTCAACTCCTGAGGGCGCCTCAGGACCCAGGACAGACTTCTGTTGGGTTTCAGCTCCTTTACCCTCCTGGTCGCATTTCTCTGCGACTCACTGCTGCTGACACACCTTCTCTACAGGAACCGAAGGAAACGCTCATTCGCCAGGAGGGCACCGCGCATGGCTCCCCTCCCCTCGGGCACTGCAGCGAGCTGAGCCCGAGGCGACTGAACGCCTTCTCTTCATCCCTGTCTCTCTCTCCAGGGGACCCGGCTGGCAGCGCCCACGGCACCCCTTCCCCTCCCTCCCCCCACGGCTTGTGCCCCTCACAGCAGCGAGCTGAGCCCGAGGCCACCTCCCTCAGCCCAACCCCTGCGGGACCCTCACACACGCCCGCAGGTGTGTGTGCAGCTGTGGAGTTAGTTACTCTATCAAGTGTTCCCTTCCACTGCGAGTGCATTGTTCTTAAACAAAACCTAGCCCTGGCTCTGGTCGATTCTGTGGGAAGCACACTGTGTCCTGGTGGGAAAGCGACAGGCTCGCCCCCAGGCTGCTTCCTGTCACACACAATGACCATCTTAGAAAGAGATTAAGGTTCCACCCACCACAGAGCCCTCTACTTCCTCGTCCGTGCAGTCGAGGGGTGAGCCCGGGGTGTCAGGGTGCGGGCGCTCGGGGAGCTCTGCAGGAGGAATAGGAGCTACAGGGAAAGAATGAAGGGGCCACGAGGAAGAAGGGGGGGGGCCTGCTCCAGGGGCACACAGGCCTGACGTCACCCGGCAGCAGATGTTCAGAGTGACCAGCACAAATGATGACAAAAAGCACCCAGACAAAAAATAAAGTAAGACACAGCTGATATTAAATATTCTACAGAAAAGTAATTGATGGAAGAATGTAAAATTGCATCAGTGCAACGCAGGTACTTCCGTTACCCAATCACTATTAAAGCACAGACCAATTTCATGTTGCACGTTCTGGGCCTCATTGAAAACAAATTCTGAGCAAGAACACAGTGCACATCGAGGCAGCCAGTCGGGGCTTGGGAGAGGAGTGTGATGTTAAGGTATCAGAAGGATTACAATCCTCGAAACAACAGTACGAATGCTCCCTCCAACCTAGAAACAGACATTTTCTCCTAAGAACCCTCCCTCTTCTCCACCCGCGGGAAGGAGCCGCCTGTGGCTCCCGGGCGCTACTGTAGAGGAAGGCGGGATGTCGCCACAATGAGCCCCCCCACCCAGTCTGCTACGAGGCTTTACACGGTGTTTGTGTTCAAACCCCAGACTGCTTTTTTCCTCAAAGATAGGCAGCTTTACAACAGTCCCCCCAAAACAAAACCCCCTTGTGATAGAAAAAAACACATCATCCCTTAATGTACTTTAAGTCAGAGCTCAGGAAGGATAAGTCCCCTGGGATCAGAGCCACTGGCAGCAAGTCCCATCTGGAGGAACATATCTAAACGGCTAGTCATCGCTATGGCGTGAATCAAGACCACCCCGACTGAAAGGAGCCTCAGGCAGGAACTCTGCTGGGTCAAAGCGAGGACACAGCCTGACCCGGTCCGCTCTGCTGGCCGCCCACACGTCTCACAGGACTTCCAGGTCAAAGAAAGAGTGTGTGGAGGTGAGATCCGTGTGTTTATAATTCTATACCCAAAACACATTAACTTGTACCTTTAACTTATACTTCACTTTCTGACATTTTTACTTAAAAGACAGTCTGTTAATGAGCACATTGTCCCTAAGAAACCTCTGTCCTCTGGGCCTTGTTGCTGTGCATCACCACCAGAGCGCTCGCCTCAGACGCCCCTGCTCGCCTCTGGCACCTGCCTAACCCGGGGCAGGGCCCGTCCGCAGCCACCGCCGGGCGGAGAGGGGAGGACAAAGCCACTCTCTGGTCCACAGGCACGGAAGGAGGGGGAGCGCCCTCCACAGGCGGGGCGGAGGCCGTAACACCTAAGAAAAGCAGCCTGTTACCCGGGGCTGCGCGACCTGTAGCGTAGCTGCTGCAGCACTCAGCGGCAGAGACGAAGCAGAAGGACCCGGGCAGGTGGGGCGGCTCACGGCCCTTTCAAGTTTTTCAGGGCGACTGTTTCATGTTCCGCTGTCATATTAATGTTGTGGTCTGACTCCCACACACACGGTGGGCATGGCATGAACACTGTGTCCTCCGAACTCCTGGAGGAGGCGCCTGCCTGCCTTCCGCCCTTTGGCTCTGAGCTCTGGGCCAATTCCCACTTCCCAGGTCCCTCCACCTCATCCCCTCTGAAGGGGCAGCTCTCGAGGAGGTTCCCTGCTCGTTCCTGCTTGAAGCCTTTATATTTAAGTCACCCCTTGCGTGCTGGATGCTCGAGGTGCCTGTTCCCACAGCCGCCCAGGAGGGAGGGTCTCGTTGGGTCGTCCCAGAGGAACCGGCAGAGCCCCGATGTCTCTGAAGGGGGGAGGGGCGTCGGCGAGGGAACCATTCACCTGGCAACAGGGCGAAGCTGGGACTGGCCATGAGAGCCCGTCAGCCACGTGAACGTGTCATCAAGGCACGGTCCCTAGCAGCCGAGCTGACGAGTCTTTGTGGGGCAGAGAGAGCACAACAGGACCCAGAAAACCTGGTGAGAACCTTGACTGTGTGCTGGGTGCGTCTCCAAAACACTGGGCCTGCCCGTCCTGCCCAGCGCACGGGCTGCCGCGAGGAAGGGGGACCTGCCCACGCATGCTCACTGCGTCTCTCACCCCAGCAACCGGCCGTCACGTCCTAGTGACCTCTTCACGGGCGACGCCCCACCATTCAACTGAGTTGCTAGCAGTTCAACACCTGAAACCCATTTCTAATGGAACAAGAATGAAATGGATTCCTCTTTGCAAACGTTTTCCATTTGCTCATGTATTTGTGACTAATAATACACAAAATCAATTTATGACTAAAACTGAGAAAAGGTCGAAACCATAAACAGTTACACGAAATGAAAGGAGAAAAGCAAAGAAAAACTAAATGTCAGGACAGTCAAAGGCATGCTCTAGAGTCACGACTACAGGCTGGTCTAGGCCCCCAGGACTGCAGCTACTGGGAACACAAACGCCACTAAAGGAAAAGGGAGTCAGGACAGGAAAGGACCGAGGGAGAGGAACGAGAACATACCAAATCTAGAACAGAGATTGCTGGCACAGCAGTCTGCTGCAGGCGACAGAGGAAAAAGAGAGGAGGGAGAGTTAGGTCAGCGGTCCCACCACCAGCAAGCCTCGCTCTCCTGCCCCTGCTCCCGAGGGCCCGTGGGAAGCGCGGGCTGCGGCTGAGCTCTGGTTTTCAGAAATTAAACACTGCGATTCCTGATTAAGATACACGGTAACTGAAACGGTGAACTTCCCCTCAGCTCTCTTATTTGGAGACTAAGGTCTTAATCTCAATATAAAATCAGTCGTAAATATGCAGACGCCTCTAACTAAAACATGAGAAATGTTCCGATACCACAATTCACAGAGGCTCAAAACTGACCGGCCTTCAATAAAAAGTCCATCTTTACAGAAATGTGTAATTATTGACCTGCCTGCCGTGTGTCCACTAGGGACAGCGGCCGGCCGAGGGAAACGCCCCGGGCAGGCACCATGGAGGCCAGGGTCCTCATGCGAACCGTCACCAGTGCCTATCAGAGAGCACCGACGGCAGAGTCATTCGGAAGGAGGTTTATACTGACGAGTTGGAAAATGCCAATAGAACGATGTGATAGGTAACATCTAGGCCTTCATTTCGGAAACGTCAGTGTCATAAGAGGGACTCCACCTGAACTTTGGGCAAAATTGTCTGCGCATCTGGCGAGGGACCTGCATATTGTAAGTGTGTGGGTGAGCGGACTAGCTCCGCTCCACGCTGACTTGGCCGGAGGTGGAGGTGGACATCTCACTAAGCCACGGCTCAGACCATCTAGTATGGACAGCACCAAACAAAAGCTGGAATTAGAAACAAAACCCAAAGGACAAAAAGGACAGGCTCTCGGCTGTCTGTTCTCAGAATATGCAGTGTCGGGAGGAAAACCACTCAGCCCCGCAGCCTGAGATGGTCACTGGCCTCTCTGCAAACCGACACCATCAAGGCCTCTGCTGGTGGTTCTTGCGAGCGGCTAACAAAAATCTTCAAGGTGGCAGTTAGCGATCTAGCCCATGTGACTAACGTGCTCTGCTTTTCTTCTCTGTGTGTTGCAAGAGCCACAAGGGATGTGTGTACCTGGAGGAATGAATGAAGCCCAGCTCTCGGTGCCTGCTCACTGCCACTGCCATCAGCTGCCTATGAACACCTGCTTCAAGCTGTGACCCACGAGGAGCCTGCTGCTGGTGAGGGAGCGAAACCTCGCCCAGGTGCACAGTGTGTCCTGCTGCCCGCCCCGTGCTGCCCACCTGTGCACAGGTCTGGCGGCTCTCAGCCACTCGCCCACAGAGCCGAGCAGCGAGGCAGGTCTGCGGGCCCACAAAGCCCAGCCGCTCGCTATCTGTCTAGGAATAAGGCCTGTCAACCCCTCGTCAAGTGACTGCTGTTCACTGACTCTCTTCACTGAAGTGCTGGAGGAGGACAAGTTTGCTTGTTAAACTGCAGTCCCACTGGGTTGGTTTTGTACTATTCGAAGGACATGCCTGAGCACTGGTCCACTGCTAGGGGCCTCGCTAGCGTCCTCCCCGCCGCCCCGCCCCGCCGCGCCCCTTTACCCGGGCTCTGCGCTCGGCCTCCAGCCGCTGCGTGAGCAGCATGGTGTCCACGTCCTCCTCCTCCTCCTCGTCGTCCTCGTCCTTCTCCTTGGACTCCTGCAGCCGCTTCTGGAACTGCCACTCGAGCAGGAGCTTGCGCAGGCGGTCGCTCTCCTCGGCGCTGCGCTCGGCCTTGCCCTGCAGCTCCTGGATCTCCCGGCTCAGCATGTCCACGATGTGCAGCTGCTGCTGCTTCTCCAGCTTCTCCTTGGCATCGCGCTTCCAGGGGTCGGGGGACAGGCTGTCCCCGGAGGACAGCTCCTCCTTGCTGACGGTGATGTACTGCAAGTCCCTGCGCTCGATCGTGCGGGGCTGCTGCTGGGGCTGCAGCTCCCGAATGACCGTCTCTGGGGGCCTCTGCAGCGTGGCCGGCTTCTCCGGCTTCAGCGGCTGCACAGTCACAGGAGAGAAGGGAGCCGGGTTCAGCGACTGCGTGCGCATCTGGCCCAGCTTCCTCTCCTGCTCCCGGCGCTTCCGCTCCCGCTCCTCCTCCAGCCGTGCCTTCTCCTTCTCGTACCAGCGCTGGTGCTCCTCCCTCTTCTTCCGCTCTGCAGCGGCCACCTGTGCAGATTGAGGTCCCAGCTGGCTGGCAGGGGGCGGTGGGAGAGGCAAATCCATCGGGATCCCGTCAAATTCGCTGGCATAGTGCATGGGAGGTGGAGGTGGCGGTGGGGGCAGGTCCGTGCGGCCGGGCTGGGGGACAGCTGCTGGCGCGGGCTGCCCAGTGACAGGGGTCTTCCAGCGCCCAGGGCCGCTTTTGGTCAGGGTGGATGCAGGCGTGCCCGGCTTGGACGCGTGGTCCAGGTGTTCCTGGCTGGACGCGCTGGAGCCCACCGAGGAGCCCTGGTTCATCCACAGGTCGCTGTCAGACTTGCGGTCCATCACCGCCTCCACTCGGTGGTGCTCCAGGTGATAAGCTTTATCTTCCCGAAGTTCCTCTTGGGAACGGGCCACACGCTGGAAAAAGAGAAAGGAAAACTGTCAGGTTCCAGCCATTTATCAGAAGAAATTACTGGACATTCATCTACTTTCTGTCTCAGGGAGATGCTACCGGACCGGTGAGAGCGCAGGGCGCGGCTGAGCCTGCCCGTGCCAGTGGCCGCCACAGTGGCAGGGCATTCCTGCGAGATGCTCACCCGGTGCAAAGCAGCAAGAGCTCTGTCTTCTCTGCATCGCTGGCGAAAAAGTGAGGCACAAACACTAGGCACCTCAGTATGGTGGCCGTCCTCCTCCCCGCCAGCCCACGGCACACCCCTCCTGGATGTCAGCCAGGGACCCGACTGCAGGGACGAAGGTGTTTGGCTTGATTATGGGAACAGCAACAGACATGCCTCCTCTGCAGTAAAACTCTCATTGCTACTGGGGGGGTCAGGTCCCACATGTCCTCGCATGGCTTCTGAGTCCCGGCACTGACCCCTGACAAGCAGCCCTGACGGCGAACGCAGGAGCGAGCACTGGAGGCGGGGCCGCCCCTGCACAGCACAGCCCTGGGGGTCCGCAGAGCTCACACCGCATGGGGAGGCTGGTCTGAGGTCATGCCTACAGCAGCTTAATCCAGTGAAATGCCTCCCGCCTTGTCAGTGAGGAGAAATTGAAGTTGCAAACCCGGGAAATAAATGTTTCCTTTCCTTAAAAAACAACCCAACAAAATAAGAACTATCTCTTAAAAAAGCAGAAAAATAAAATGTCACTTGAAATAAAAGCCTGACAGAAAAATGGAACACTGACACCAGCTCGGAAACAGTTTCTTGATAAGTGGGCGGGCACCTCTGAGCCACACCGTGGGGCGGCCTCACCCCCTCCGAGTCACTGCTTTGCTGCTTAGACGCCCTCAGCCCCGTGCGCCTCCCCCTCCCCTTCCTCCCCGCAGGCCCACCGGGACTCTGCGTCCCTCCAATACCCACCAAGAAGTACGAGAGACCTGCCCTCCCGTCTCCTGACCTCCTCTCTGATTATCACCCACGTGTGAGCACACGGCAGCTGTACCTGTGAGGCTCCACCACGCCCCCCGCTGCACCACGGGAATGTGGGGGCCGCCTCACGCACCCCACGCAGGTCTCCCCACGGGCTGACAAGAGGCTCGAGGAAATGGCCTAGAACTACTAGTTCGAGAGAACCTTGGAGAGGCCTCGTCTCAGCCACTCCCAGGGCCCAGGCTGAGGGGCGGGGGGAGGACAGGCTGCTGGGGGCACCGGCCCACCTGGGAGAGAGGTGGGATGGACCCGGGGACGCGACGAAGCCTGTGAACAGCGTGACCGGTGCTGGGACCATGCTCTGCCCTCAGAAACGGGCCCTCTCACCTTCCTCACACCATCGCCTGTGACAAACCCTCCCTCCGCCTCCTCGTTCTTCTCAGCTCAGCCCAGAGCCCATCTCGGCTCAGTAACCCTGACCACGGACCCAAGACAGACGCCGTCGAATCCACTGCCCGAGACACAGGGGTGTCACAGAGCCAGGCCAGCGGTCTCCGACCTTTCTCGCCTCACGGCACACGAATGAATCGCTGACACTCGGTGGCACACCAAGACACATCTTCTGCCAACCTTACAGGAAAGACCTATGATTCTGATTCCTTCACACCGCAAGGAATGTTGGCTGCTGGAAGGAGGTCAGGGCCCTGACTACATAGTCAGGCACCGCACTTTTTGCAAACTCGTGTGGCTCGCCTGTTGAAAACGCTGTGAGCGTGCACTTCCTTTCTCCGCCCAGTCAGCTCCCAACGCAACACTGCCTTTCTAAAAAGAAAACCACACCTGAGCACGTTCCCTCACTGAACCAGGAGACTGACCGCCCGCTCTCTAACCTGGACAGAACCCGAGCTCCTGCGCTTGTCGCCTGCGACCTCCCCTGTGGCTCCAGCTGCCTTTGCCCTCCCCCCGCTTCGGGCTCCTGCACCCCGACACCGGCAGTCCCCGCGCCACTCCAGCTCCGGCCTCTCCCCGAGCAGCCTCGGTCCAGGCGGCTGTCACGCCCCGGGGGGTGCGGGTCTGGTCACTCCGACTGAGACAGCTGGTGCCTTGGGGACTGGCTCTCCAGGAGCAGGACCCCTGCACTGACTCCGTCTCAGCTTCCCGGCAGGGGCCACGGTGACCTGGGCATCCCAGTGCTCGGGCAGCTTCCCACGTCAACCAAGCCCCGCCTGCCCCGCGATCTCACCCCTCACTCCTAGATGCCACACCAGCCCGGCCAACTGGAGACCACTCCACGTGACGACCTCCACGAACCCAACAGCAAGAGAACAAAGAATCCCTTGCTGGCTCCGCGTCCTACCCCGCCCGTCCCCTTTCCTCCACCAGCCACATGGCCAGGAGGAAACAGATGCTGCCGGCAGGGCTGCTGGACAGAAAGGCCCCAGGTCTCAGTGGTGTCTTTACGATGTGGACAGCGTGACCTGTGCTGGGAGTGGGTCCGTGTGGGGTCGACGAGGGGAGCCGGTGCGAACCCCTCCCCGCTAACCTGCACCGCGAGGCTGGGGTGACTGCCGTCCGTGTGCACGAGCGGCTCCTCCTCATAAGGGGGCCACTGGCTGTGAGGAGGAGGAGGTGGGGGAGCGGCCCGGTCCTGGGACTTGGAGGCGGGGAAGGTGAAGTACTCCCTGGTGTACGTCTGCGTGGGGATGGGGTAGGCCTCGGGCCGAGGCGGGGGCGTCTGCTCCTGCAAAACGTGAACAAGGACGAGAGGTGAGCTGTGGACGCATTTAACTCCCAGTAATGGCATGATATAGTGTACATACTAGACAACTGTTCGAGATGGGAAGGGTGTGGTCCTACACTGACTGAGCACTGGGAACCCCTATGAATTCACACTGAACATAAGAAAGGAGTCCTAGGAGCTAGAGCACGCTGGTGGGGGTCAGTCCTAGCTCAGGGCGGCTCTGAGGGAGGCCAGGAGCGAGAGGGGTGAGGAGGGTGGGCTCTGACCTCCGCGCAGAGGTTTCCCGTGGAGACGGACGTTATCTTCGCTGCTGTTCCAGGGGCGTAGGCGCCTTTCCCTCCAGGACTCGGAGGCTGATCTGCGGGGAGAGTCGGACAGAAAGGTACGAGCACATGAACAAGATGCTGCCTAGCAAGAGCTCCTGAGGGCAGCCCCGTGGCCGCACCTTCAAGGGGCCTGCACAGAGCTGAGCCAGGCCCGTGAGGGACTCCTGCCCCCGACCAGTCAGAGCCAGAGCCACAGCCCCTACAGACAGGACTGGCACTCGGTCTGACGCGGCTTCTTTTCTTGTGAACCCGTGACAGATGAGCCCCACCTGGAGAGGCGTCAGTGTGCTGCCTAGCGCAGCACCTGAACCAGAAGCTCCCACTTAGTGGTCATTTCATTTCAACAGCGAAGGGAGCAGAGCCGCCTCCTCCGACGGGACCCGAGAGCGCCTGGCGAGGGCAGGCGTGGACCGGGAAGGCCGGTGATCTTACTTGCCACGTTGGGGCTGGAGCGGTGGTCGGCTCTGTTCTTCAGCAGCCGGTCGTCGCCGGGCAGCTTCTTTGGCTCACTGTACTCTGCCCACGGCAGCGGAGGGCTCTCGGGAGAGCCGTTAGGAGCGGAATTGCTGTAGAGCTCGAAGCCTTCGCTCTTTGGTCGGGGTTTTCCTGAGCCTCGGCGATCTGACACTGAAAGCAAAACATGCCCACAGGGCAGCCTCTGCTCAGGTGGCACTTTCAATACCCGTTTATTTTAAAAGAAAGATGAATATACAAATATTCAAAACTCCACAAGTAAAACTTGTCTTTGCAGAAGAAATAAGACGGTTTTTATATAAGGGTAAAATCTTCCTAGAGAACCTCTGATTTTCAAATAAAGTAACACTTAACGTTAATGAGAAAAGGTACGCTATGAAGCTTATTTTCTCATAAACTTGCCTGTTCTAAGTAATGAAACTAAAGTAACAAAATCTGTTTTAAAGTAACTTTTTAAAAAACAAAAATAAATGCACTCCCCCCACTTTTTAAAACATTAATTCTCCTAGCCCCCCAGGAAGGACATCGTCAGACACCCTTCGATGAGACTTTCCATCTTCATTTTCAGTTTTGCCAGCTTCTTGCTTGTGACCTGATTTATTGCCTACTTTTCAGCTTCCCCTCTTTGATTTCTAACTCTGCCTGCTTTGCTTCTGTGAAATGACTGCAAACTGAGAAAGCAGACACCCAAGATGTTCAGTATCATGTGATGAAAGGAGTAAACAACACGCGGAGGCCAGGTGTCTAGTCCAGTGCATGGTTTCCAGACTCTTTTGTTCCAGTGAAACAGCAGGTCCAGACGCGGCCGCTGGGGAGAGCCCCAGCCCGACCAGGCGTGCGGCCACGCGGTGAGCACGGTGGGTCTGACTCAGGTGTAAAGCTCACAGTAACTTAACGCATAATGTGAGTCAACTGTTTTTTCCTCTAATTTCTGAACTAACTCCTTTGATAAAGACCTAAACTTACACTTTTATTCTGAGATGCTTGATGTAGCTACAAAACCATGGTTTCCACCAACCAATTACTTATTCAGATACCTGAGCTTTTCTACACCTGACAACACGTGTCCTGTGTCGGCACGCAGCACGGGAGTCGCCGCCCACGCACAGGCACTCCTGAGGGGAGGTCTGCCTGCTCTCTGAGACCACAGCCTGTGTCTGCCAGCAGAACTGAGCCCCGCCCATCGCTCACACTGACGGGGCCTCCCAGCGGGGCCTGGGAGGGTGGCAGGGCTCAGAGGGGATGGAGCCCGACGAGCTACACTGTGGCTCGCAGGTCCACGTCGGAATCCTGGCTCCCGCAAGGCCCATCCCGGCCTCCTTCTCTCTAAAACTGGACACTGGACGGAAGAACAGGTCCTGCTCCTAAGGCGCTTGGCCCGTGGGAAGCTGCCAGCAAGCCTGCTATTGGCCGTCGTCCACAGGAGACACACCCCACCCTCCCCGGCGGTGCTTACGCCTCTGCATCATGGGGGACGGCTGGTTGAGCAGGGTAGCGAGGCCGTGATAGATGGCTCCTTGCTTCGCCACCTCCAGTGTCACCACGGAGCTTGTCCTTGTCATGAGCTCTGCTGCCCTAGGGAGAGAGCGCCCGAGGTCAGGAGGAGGCCGCTGCGCTGTCCCCAGGTGCCTGGGACCAGGTGCCCGCAGCCCCCCCCCCCCACCCCCCCCGCTGCCGCTGCGCAGGGAGTGTCCTGACCCTCCCCCTTTGCAAAGGACCTGCACACCCCGCCTCCTCTTTCCCAGGAGGGAGGCAGGAGCAGAGAGGTCTGCGGGAGTGTCACGAATCTTTCTTAAACTTCAAAAAAACTGCTCCACACTAAAATACGTATTTCTATTTTGCTCACACATGAAATGTCATGTATATAAAAGTTTTACACTTAAACAGGTGAGGGTAAGGACACACTTTTTAGCATTCTTTTGCGCCTTCCAATCCCAAATTTAATGTGAACTATCCCTACAAATGCTAACATTAAGCTTAAAGCAAACACATAGATGATACCTTTCTTGAGAGAGTCCTACCAGACTCCGCCCGTCCACGCTGAGGAGCTGGTCCCCCGCGGCCAGCCGCCCGTCCTGTGCGCACCGAGGCACCGTGTCGAGAGGGACAGCCAAGGCCGAGGGAGGAAGGGAAGTCAGTGGTAAGTGCACTTGCTATTTGTCGGTTCTCAACAGAGTGTTAAATATGACATACGGACGTTCACATCTTTAAAAGGTGTACTGACCACATCCGCAGCACCTCCTTTCACAACGGACTTGACGTAGATCCCAAGTTTATCTTGACCAGCACCCTGAGCAGAAACAAGGGAAGAAACACTGCACTGAAAACAGGAAGAAGGCAATGCCCCGTGAAGCAGAGCAAACACAAAGCATGCACACAGCTACTCCCAAAGTCCTGGTTCTGGCTTCCCCGTGACAATTAGAACCATAAACTACATTAATAAAATTAATGTTCTACTTGGTAACTATAAAGAAGACAATAGGAAATGTACCTATTTTATGTTCCAAATGAAGAAAAGTGACTCCTAAAAATCCAGTCAATTATGACCAAATCAGCTGGCAGGAGACTAGACTAGACTGAACCACAGGTAGAGGCTGGTTACGGACAGCCCCAGGGCATGCACGTGGACCATTTCATACAAGAGCGACTGCCTCCCATCCTGACCCAGGTCCCTACACCTTTAAAGTTTAAACAAGACAAGCTTCTCATGGCCACGCAGGGGCCTGGGAAGGGCTGTACAGAACACACTGTGGTGGCTCCGTCGAGGGCAGGTGCTGGCTTGTGAGGAACACCGCCTGGAACAGGGCCTGCCCCGGAACAGGGCCAGCGTGAGACGCAGACGCACGCAGCTGCTTCCAGGACCACTGCGGTCCAGCTCGGGCGGCACAACGGCAAGTGAAGCAGCTCGATGACTCCCGGAGCCACAGGGAGCGGCTCCCGCGCAGGACGGCCCGCACATTCCCAGCCACCCCCACCCCCGGGAAAGACTGTGTCATGACAGCAAACAGGACGGCATCACCGAAAGTCATGAAGACAGATTCCAACAAGTGACGTCGCTGAAACCATCTTCCTACGATGCTCCAACGACATGATTTCCACTTGAAAACGCCCGTTTCCCGTTAGGTCGCCGTGCCGGTTTGGAGCGTGACCAGCCAGCGCGACTGAGGGCCTCCTGCTCTCCTCGGGGCGCCAGCACGCAGCCCCTGCTGTGTGAGCCGCACACGTCCAGTATACGGGGCTCCGGAAAGCAGTGTGACCGTCTCCCCTGAGCACAGCATTCGGCGTGGGGATGCGGTGCTTCCGAGGTCCTGTGTGTGCAGTGGCTGGGGGCTGAGTCTATAAAAGTTCTTGTGAGCTCAAATCAAGTGCTCCCTCTGCAGCTCCGACCCCAGGGTTTGCGTCTGCTCACCGCCAACACCTGTCTGTCTAGACGTTGACACCTCCCCCCTCCCTGCAGACCTGCCCAGTCCGGGACACCAGCTGCCACTAGACGCCCTCCCAGTCACGCCCCACTCCCAACAGCATGATAACGAAGTGCAACCTGTGGTCCCCGCCATAAAATTAAAAACAAGAAGCAAAATACAAAAAAAATTCATTCTGATACTTGGCAAACTTGTACTTTTGTGTAAATTTGAAATTTCACCATAAAAAGTACATACTAGTAGCAGGCACTTAGTAAATGGCACCTTTCTCAACAGCAGGTCACTTGGCAAAAGAGCAATAGACATACGTGTTACCTCCCTTCGCTTGTGCCAAGACTGGGTTTCCTCCATCGAGGGGCCTAAGACACACGACAGGAAATCCCTTCTCCAGCACCCTCCTGCTCCCATGCGTTAACGTGGGCATGCCTGCATCTATAATCTAATTAAATTATTTTAAGCAGCACATTCTGTACTTCCATGGGATCTGTGATTAACTGCTAATGCCGCAGCTCAGCGGTTACACGACAGCCTCCTCCCTCCCACTCTGCACTAAAGGCCACTCTGCCCCAGCTCCGCCCGCACCAAAGGACGAGGACACAGCACCCGGCTCAGGCGCTCCCGTCTCAGAGGCGCTTCCTCCACGCTGTCCAACAGGAATTCTGGTCGGGGCACTGACAACACCCCCTTCTCTTTCTCTGCAAATACCACAGGGCACCTCTTCATAGCAAGTCCCCGGGGCCGGATTTTTAAAAAGGTTCTAGAAGCACCCTTTTCTCTTCTGCTCCCTATTTGACCAACATCAAAGCAATGCTTCCTGAACTTCAGAACACGTAGGCCGTCCAGCGCCCCCACCCGCAGCTTCGCTTCCTGCAGTTTCTGGCCCCGTATTCAACCAGGCTCAAAATACCACATGGAAAGCCCCAGAACTCGACGATGCAGAGGTTTAAACGTGCACCGTTCTGAGCAGCACAAGGAAACCTCGAGCTGCCTGCTCCGCCCACCTGGGACGGGACTCATCTCTGCGGCCAGGTCTCCACGCCACCCGCCGCCCATTTCGCAGCTGCCCGTTACCACGCTGGTTCTAAGAGAGAGACCACATTCACGTGCCTTTCATGACAATATATTGCTCTATTTTACTACTAGTGATGGTTGTTAATCTCTTCCTGTGCCTAAATAAACCCAACTTCATCACAGGTATGTGTGCAGGAACTACACAGCCTGGAGAGTCTGGCACTGTGCTCGGCCGGGTTCCCCGGGGGCCCTGGAATGTGCCTTTGAGCAGGCAGGAGCGACCGCACAGGTGTGTAGTGAATGGGCACTTACCTGCTCTCCGCACAGCACTGCTGTTTGGCAATGTGATACTGTCCTTCTAATTTAGGTAAAAACAATAAGCAAGCTCTCCGCCACTCCCTATTTCTGATATACTTTACAAGATTACTTCTAATAAAGAAGAAAATCTCATTCACTTGGACAAACTATAGTAACAGAGCTCTTTCTTTTCGCATAATACAGCATGTCCCCCAAAATGTATACACACTCTAACAGGCGGGAGCCTGATTTTGAAAATGAAATGTATTTTGATAAACACTTCCTTTATAATTAATTAGTCAGAGTGTTGTATCCATTTTTGGGGCGACCCTAGAGCATGGTGTAAGGAAATGAGAACACCACCCTCATACACTGCTGGCCTGCACACATGCGTGTGCTGCCTGTAGCTGGCTCTTGCCCACCAGCTCCCTCAGGAAGAGGTCTGCGCCCCACGCACTGCCAGCCGTGGCTGCCCGGGATCATGACCTTCCCTTGCCGCCGCTTCTCTCAGATCAGGAACCTCACACCTGAGGCTCGATTGTTTCATAACCACTCTACACGTTAGACAACTTAATGCATCACCTTAAACTGAGCAGGATCCATATTTCAATAACCTAAAATCCTGTAACATTTCTGAGCAGGTAACTTGTCACACTACATGCATGTGGAACTTAATAAGCCAAGTTCAACATTCAGGTAAAACTGACCGTGACCCAGACAGCTGACAGTAGATATTTCAGAAAGTTCTGGCAAAACGTGGCCCTCTCCTCCCGATGGAGCTGCTGGTCCGCAGAAAGCCCTCCCGGGGCGCCCTCCCAGCGCGCTGCCACCACCGCCCCGCTGCCCCCGCACTGGCAGCCACGCTCCCCAACACCACGCGTGATCCAGACCACACTTCGTGTCCCCACGCGTGCCTGTGTCCATGTTTTCTTTCTGATGTCATGGGTCTGCCAGATGCTCTCATCACCGATTCCCAGGCTCACCTGCCGCCACCTGCCCACCCACTCACCTTTCCCCGTCAGACAAGCGCTCCTTTGTCCCCGGCACTCGTCCTGCCCTGCTCTCCACGGCCTGTACAGAGGCTCCTCCCAGCAGCTCCCGGAGCCCCTGCCCTATGGGTTTACCAGAAGGTGCTCCCGTCCCTACTTGGCACACAAGCCCTTGTTCTGAGGAAGCCCAGAACTGTGTGGGATGCATTCGTCGGTCAGGAAGCAGCTGCTATATTCATTAAGTGCGCTGGTAGCATAACACTGATAACACTGTAAAAAGGTAGTTTAAAAAGTTAGAAATTCTAGTCCGGCTGGCGTGGCTCAGTGGTTGAGTGTCGACCTATGAACCAGAAGGTCATGGTCTGATTCCCGGTCAGGGCACAAGCCCGGGTTGTGGGCTCGATCCTCAGTGTGGGGTGTGCAGGAGGCAACCGATCCGTGATTCTCTCTCATCATTGATGTTTCTCTCTCTCTCTCCCTTCCTCTCTAAAATCAATAAAAAAATTTCTTTTAAAGAAAGAAAATTTATTGAAGTAATTCTATTAGTTCCTACTTACATATACACACAATTAAATTTCATTTTATGGTAATCCTACTCCTCTTCTAATTAAGAAAGGAAAACAGGGCCAGAAGCTACAACATTTTGCCGCTACATGTCAATGTATCATCTGCCACGAACAAAAGGGGCCATGTGAGCTGTGAGCACCAGCCGAGCCGATCCGGGAATGCCCAGCAGCAGCTTTCAGACATCGCTGAGATCGTATCAGACGCTGCCCCGTGTGGGAGCCACCAGGCCACCTGTCAGCCTGGATGTGTATCAGCAAGTAAAGGATACGCCCCGATTTCAAAGTCTTAGTGTGGAAAAAAGAATCCAAACCAGCTCCTTAATGCATATTCACTCCATGCTGAAACCGGGACATTTTGGACACAATGCGTACCATAAAACATTATAAAATTAATTTCACCGTTTCTTTTTTTTAAAAGATGGTTATAGAAACTGCCAATGACCACGTGGCTCATTTCCATGTCCACTGGCCAGACTGCACTAAGCTGCAGGCTTGCACACTGCAGGCTAAGCAGTCGGGCGCAGCAGCACAGGACAAGGGCGCAGCTGGGGGAACAGGCCCGCCCCACAGGACAGTACTTTCTGGCAAGACACACCCTGATTTCCAAACCCGGGAAGAGAAACCAGTCACTACAACTGAGAACACAACACAAAAAACAGACCAAGGCTAAATAATTTTAAGAATTACTTGCCTAAAGGTATCTAAAGTGGGATCTGAAAACCTCGTTGTGTTTTTAGTGCACTGATTTATAAAATTAAAAGCATAAGCATCATTCCTCAGTTAACCAGGGTCTCCTGGAAAGCAATCCCGCATCGAAAGGCCCAGGAGTTCCGAGGTTCTCGCCACGGCTCTGCCCCGGGAGTAACCTGGGTGAGGGTCCGGGCAGGCGCGGGCACTGCCGTGCAGATGACAGAGCACAGAACCCAGCACGTTACCAGGCAGTGCAAACACCTAGGTCCCCATCCTTAAGAAAAGCAGCTACAACGAAATAACGACTCCTACGTG